AAAAGTGTGCATTTGGTGGAAGCCATTTGATTATGATTAAGACATACCAGCGTTTTACTTGGAGTTGTCTGAAGCACCTTGTTTTTATGTGGAAAAGTAATTGTTCTGTTAAAACAAAAATGAAAACAAAAAAATAACCTCAGGAGAATCCAGCTGATTTTTGCTCCTATCTGATGGGAAGTGGCTGCCACGGATATTTTCTCACTTTCATTAAGAAAAGTATGTTGGGAGACAATAGCAGGAACGAAAAGACGTACTCTTTTCTGTGCCAACATCTGTCCAGTTGAGAACAAAATGTTGTTGGTGGCCAGGCTCCACTTTGCCAAGAGAGGTTGGTGTTTGTCTTTGCAAAGATGGTCGTGGTGGCAAATCATCAGAAAACCACGTGCTAACATGGAGACCCCTAGAGAACGATGACAGCCTTCGGGGGCATGTGGCTTTTGGACTTGATGGGAGGGGTTAGAAGCCTACCCATTTGCCAGAGTCTTGGGTTTACCCTTCACAGATTAAGTGAACTACTCTACACAAGGTACTTAGCCCAGTACCGGGAGTTCCAGAGGCCGTTGTCTGCTGCTGCCACTGTCCACCCTTTCCTTATCCTCTGGATTCATGCACACTTGAGCTAGATTCCCGAAGTCTGTGTCTGGAAGCCACCCAAGACTTTGCCCTGCCTCTAAGCCCTTAGGGATGTTCTGGGAGGTCCCACCACTAAAATACACTGAGGGCAAAGCAGACGCTGCCTCTGCTTTGGGGGAGAGGCTTTCCCAAGCCAACTCTTCTTTTTATCTGAGGGGAAGGGCTGAGGTAAGAGACAGCCGCTGGGGGACAGAGGAATAAATACGGAAAACCCTCTCCAGGGGCTGCCATTGTGCTTAGGACAATGGCAGGCCCCGGGGAGCACTTTTATCCAGTTGCGATTAGAAAGTAAAATAAATGTAGACATATTACACCCTCCTCCAGAGCCCTGACTCATTACAGCCCACCCACCCCTGAAGGCTGTAGATGTGGAAAGGGAGAACACTCTGAGTTTTTGTCAGAGTCCTGGCCTACTGTGGGGGAGAAGGAAGTCTAGGGTGGGGAGGCAGGTTCTCAAGCCTGGGGTTGGGATTCCCAGAAGCTTTGGGCACCGGTCCTCTGACCACCCTGGGCTTTCTCAAAAGCTGCCAGCACCAAGTCTCCACCCTTCCCAGGGCTTTCCGGCCAACAATGAGCACGTCCCACAGGGCGGGGCTGGCGACACACCCAGGCAAGGCTGGCCTGTAGGGAGGAGGAACCCCCTTCCAGTGATGGGCAGGAGGGGCTGAGGAGGGCTTTCTGGAACCGAGAAAGTGTGCCCAAACACTGGAGGGACTGGCAGTCAGCCTTTGCTGCCTTGGTTGTTTTGTTGAAGTAAAACAGAAAGATCTTTCTGGAAACAAAGCCATCTCTCATGAAACCGAGCCTCCACTCTTCTGCAGGTGGTGTTTCTAAGCATCCCTCAGGTAGCTTAGGAGAATTCTCCTGACCAAGGAAACACGGGGGCCCAACAGCTACGAAACCCCTTGGGAGCAGCTGAGCCTTGAGCTAACATCTTTGGATGCTTCTAGTTTGGGTACCTGCCACCCCGGCTGGCCACAGTGCCCGTGGAGGCCCCTGGGCCCGTCTACACACGACACCTGCCTACATGCTGTACTTGACACTGGGGAGTTGAGGGGCGAGGGTGGCGAGGGAAGGTAAAGAGCGGTCTGTGGAATAAACCACATAATACACTCAGCTCAGGACTGGGCACAGAAAGGTCTTTTTTACACGGCAGCAATTTTATTAATAAAAGCTTATACTTGAGTGCTCCCTCTTGTATTTATGCCAGGTCCTGTCCCACATGAGGCTCACACTAACCCTTGGAGGTAGCTATTATTATTCCTATTTTATAGACATGGAAATTGAAGCTGAGAGAAGTTAAGCAAATTGTCAGTAGTTACACAACTAATTATTGGTGGAGCTGGGACTCAAACCCAGACAGTTTGACCCCATAGCCTGCACTTAACTGCTGTGTAATACTTTCTGTTGTTATGATGCATTGGCAGATCTTCAGAGGATCTCAATCTTAGACTATTGTTGGACAAAGAGAGGGCTGTTTTTGAAGCATATAAAAGCAGCTGAGGGCTTGTTTAATGCTACAGGACTCATATAAAGGCTGGGAGAGAAAGAGCCCAGAGCAAAAACTAAAATTCTGGAATGATTTAGCTATTTAAAGTAGTATCTAGAAACTCTCAATCGGCAGTACCACCTATTGATACAATGCTCTCTTGTGTCTGAGCCTAACAAATCCAGAACATAGCCAGAGAGTAAGTATTCACTCCTAATTTACTGAAGAGGAAACTGGGGCTCAGAGCGTATGGGGTTCTTCACATCTAAGTGGGTGATTGCTGTTAATAAAGATCACTGATTTTTTTTTGAGCAATTACTATGTCCTGAGCACTGTGCAGTGCTCAACTTGAGTTGTAACATAACAATCTTTTGATGGGTATTCTTATTTTGTCCATTTTATAGGTGAATAAGTGGAGGCCTAGGGAGTCTAAATAATTGGCTTTAAGATACAGATACCCATTGCTCATAACGCACCTTGGCAGCAGTGATGGGGCTCACAGCCTACTGAAGGGAACTGGCTGGTCTCACACTAAGAACTTCCTTGGTGCAATGTGCCCTGGGAGATTTAGAAGATGGGAGATGCAGTCCTTGCCTTTGGAAGGTCGTGGAGACGGAGGGAAACAGTAAGGAATTGGAAGGCAGGCCTCAGTAATCCCAGTTTTGCTGCTTACTGGCCAGTGGTCAGGCCTGTTTCATTAGCCACTGAGCTTTGCTTTCCTTACCTATATGGTAGAGCTACAGTGATCTGTCTTGTAGTCCTAGAAGTTCGGTTAACATAAACCCTGGCACTCAATGCAGAGGCCTCATTACAGTTGACCTGAAGAGCAGAAACACACGCAAAGCTAGTAGTACCAGGCAGCCATTTGAAAAGCATCACACATGATGTTCAACCATAGGCCTGCAAAGAATTTTCTGAGGCAGGCTAGGCTGGGCCCATCAAGGAGGTTCTTAGAGAGGGTGTGAACTCAGGCTTGTCTTTGATTTAGGGCAAATGGAGCCCGTGGGAAATTCTCATGAGTGACTCCAAAGAGCTATGGACGACTGATTTCAATAGTTAAAACACTGCCATTACCTCTCGTTCCTGGGGCCAGATCTTCCTGCTCTCCACCTCCTTGACGAACTGGACATTGTCTAGGAGAAATGCCATTGTTGAAGCTGCAGGGGTAGGGGAGAGCGTGGTGTGTTCAGGGAACTCGCAGAGGTTTGGGAGAGCTGGAGGGCAAGATTCAAGGGTGGGGCCTTGTGGGGGTGCAGAGGAAGCTGAGCAGTGGGCGAGGCAAGTGACACTTTGAGAGGCCCTGGACTCCCAGCATGGGCTAGGGACTTGGCTGTCAGTGTGTGAGGGCTAACCACTGACGTGACACAGGGAGTCAGTCTTCAATGAAATGGTGGTCACAGGGGCGAAAACCACAGAGAGCTCAGGATAAGGGTTGAGGGTCAAAACTAGAGTGGTGATGCTGGTGCAGATGGAGACAGAAGTGACCAGAACACAGACCTCAAGATTGACCTCCTGATCTGCTTTCTACACTAGTAAACTCAATGTGCCAAGCGTCTGGAGCAGAATCTCAGTTTCCAGCTTTGTGATGAGGGTCCGCATGAAGTTTAGGGTGACTGGGCCCTGTGCCGGTGTTATGGATTCCACGTTTGTGTCCCCCTACTCCCCTCCCCAAATTTATATGCTGAAATTCTAATCCCCAATGGTACGGCATCAGGAGGCAGTGCCTTTGGTAATTAATTCAGGAGCATGGAGCCCTCATGACAGGATTAGCACCCTTAGCTTTTTTTAATTTTTTAAATGTTTTTATTTGTTTTTGAGAGAGAGAGAGAGAGAGAGACAGAGAGACAGAGCACAAGCGGGAGGGGCAGAGAGAGGGAGACACAGAATCAGAAGCAGGTTCCAGGCTCTGAGCCATCAGTACAGAGCCCGATGTGGGGCTCGAACTCGTGAACTGCGAGATCATGACCTGAGTTGAAGTCAGACGCTCAACTGACCAAGCCACCCAGGTGCCCCAGATTAGCACCCTTATATAAGAAGAGACACAAGAGCTTGCTTCCTCTCTCTCTGCCATGTGAGGACACAACCAGAAGATGGCTATCTACAAACCTCACCAGATTCTCACCAGACACCAGATCTGCCAGCACCTTGATCTTGGACCTCCCAGCCTCCAGAACTGTACAAAATAAATGTTTCCTGTTCCAGCCACCCAGTCTATGGAACTCTGTTAACACCAGCCTGAGTTGATTATGACAACAGGATTGACAGACACTCAGTAGTAGAATGGCTGTGGTCAGAAAAGGCCATCTCAAGTCAACATACATCCTTGTTATTTTCCAGTGAGCCCAAAATTGTGGCAGTGAGAATAAGAAATCAAAATCTAAAAGACTTTCTTCACTTAAGGTCAGTGCTTTGAAAGATGGACTTCTACCAATGCACTGCAGTTTCTTAATAAATGGTGAGTCACTCACAGTGGTTCAGAAGCTCTTGTCCTCAAGGTTCATCAATCCCCCTTCGTGTCCAGATGATGAAACTGTCACTGCTCTGTGTCACAGAACCAAACACCAGGTAGACCAGCACAGCCCAACAGCTCTTTTAAATAGTTTTCCTTTTGTCAACTTGGTCAATCCGGTCTGGATTCCTCAACAAACAGTCCTGAATCACACCATTGCTATTTGTTGCATTCCACCCCCACCCGCCTCCCCCCCACCCCCCGCTCTAAACAGCCTTCCTATGTGATACAAATGCATTCCTAAAGCTTTGGTTGGATTCTGATTTTGTTTTGGTCATCGGAAGTTGGACTGGTCTTTCTTCAAATGGGACAGACCTTTCCAGGGCGCAGGGGAGCAAGAAAGTCAACACGACGTGGAGGCATTTATGAACAGAATAAAGCACACACTTTATTCACTGAGTGGTGAGTGTACAACAGTGATGCAGAGTACGGGGTGGGGAAGCGGCGAGTGCTGCTTGCGACAGGAGCGCGGGACAGGTCAGGGCCGTAAAGCACAGCAACGCGGGGCCGGCTGGCCGCCCCCACCTCTGCATACTAGTATGTGTTACTCGGGGCGCAGATGGACACCCACTCACTTTCATGGGGGACACGACACATCTTTCCAACAGCAGTTCTTCCAAATATTCACTTTCATATTTCTGAAATGGGAGGGAAGGAAGAACTGGACGTCTTTTGACACTAGCAAAAAAAAAACTCCCATTAAACCCAACTTAAAAGGAAAGGATGGTAAGAGATTTGATGCAGGATTGTCGGCAACTCACAGAAACCACAGACATTTGTTACGGGACGGGTTTGTACACAGAACCCAAAAGGAAGGTCAATATTGTGGACAACTGTTTTTTCTTCCACAGGATAAAGAAATATTGGCATATACCATCATTAAGGGGCTTACCACCTTTCTGAATGTTGGCGTAAATAGTATTGTCTCTTCCTACCTTTGGTGAATGGGTTCCAAAAGTGACTCATGGCGTCTTCACTCTTGAGAGCGACACTTTCAGGAAGAATTGTATTTAATGATAACAATTGCCAGTCAATCACATCAAGCGTCAGAAAACGTTGCATTTAATTTTGTTGTGTATGCATATACTGTTTAGAACGTTTCTTTCAGCTTCAAAGGACCACCTCCCCCTTTCTTTTTGAGTTTGCCATATATTGAACTTGCCCAAATGAAAACACAAAAATCCATATGCAAAGCATATCCATCACCTCATTGCTTCCTGGGCAGCAAATGGAAGGTGACTTTTCTTTTAAAGCCAAAGTAAGAGTTTCTCTTTCTTTCATTACAACATAGTTGGGTAGATTCCTTAATGTACATTACACTCTAAGGTGGGGTCAACTGTAAATCTCAGGCCTGGGATCATCTTTTTTTAATAGAACATTCTTCAAAAGGGAGTACTCATGAGTGAGGTGTAGGGCTTACTCACACACACTTGGTTGATCAAAAGAAAATGATTTTAAAGATCAAGGAACGTCAAGGCTGGTCTAGGAAGTGCAGATTAAACAGTGCCCAGGAATACAGAAGACGTGATTTGTAAAAATTGAGCTTGCTTCAGAGGATACAGAAGGGGAGATGACACGGAGTTCCTTTCCTTCCCCCAGCATGCCTGACAGTCAGAGAGAGGGCGCACCTGCCCCTTCGACGCGCAGGACACGAACACCAAGCTTTTTGAAAGAATTTTTAGAAAGACCTACCAAGTCAAAAGCGGTTAATTCGATTTTTTTTAACTTGCAAAAGCATATGTATTCTATATAATCATCTGAGAAGCAATTCTTTAGAAAAAGGTGTTTGCTTTCAAGTGTAAAGAAATTAGGGGAACGCTTATAAACATTTCCAGCAAGACTTCTCTAGGCAGAGTTGACGGGCACAACCAGAGGGAGAGCACGAGCTGCACAGGAAACGTGCGTCGTGTTGCCCACGAACTCTGGCTCTTCCGTGTGAGGTTGCAGAGAACAGGCAGTTGATTGTTAGTCATTGAAGAAGTCACATCGAGAACATTTCCTAGCTAACCCAAACCAAAATGTGGATGCAGAGCGGGCTGTACAAGTTCCCAAATGATCTTCACGCCCCTCTTATACCACACAGGAGGACTAAACAGTCTCCTGGGAGAAACCGTAAAGGAAGCACTGACTTCCATGTTGTCGGAGGCCTCTTCTGTTTCATGCAATTCGGTGTGTGCTTAAGGAATCGCGAATTGGCCCAACACTCCAACGTGTAGCCCTTGGGGTGTGTGCCAGGAACGTTTGCCAATCCCTGTTCATTTGGCTGCATTAACACATGGAATTTTTAGGGGCAGTGCACAGTGGGGGTTCGAGCAGAGAACGCTGATGCCCTGCACAGTGGCCTGGAAGTGCTAGGACAAGCATGCTGAGCCCCATTAAAAAAAAAATGGATAGGCCACTGTAGCCCATATATTAGATTTGGCGGTTAGGAGAACAGGGTCGCCCCACGACCCATCCCTCCAGCGGGTGTCTTCTGCCAGGAGTTGGGGAACTCTCTCCACACTATGGTTGTCCACGACCCCTCCCCAGAGCACAGCGTTGCTCTGCCCACAGACAGGAGGCTACTGACTTTGTCTGGTAATGCATTTTTGCATGGGTGTAGTTTAAATGAGCTAGGACACTTGATATGGAAAGAAGCTTCCAACCCCACTCCCCAAGTTGGATGCAGAATTGAATTCAAAAGATATAACAGAAGTAGAGTTTCATTGGCGGGAGCAGATTTTGGTTCAGATCTTTGACTACCATTACAATTTTCCTCACACTGACATCTGATGTGCATGCGCAGGGGTCATAGTTCATTTAACCAAAGAAAATATGGAGGGTCCTTTAGTATCCCCGTAATGAAAAAAACTCGCTCCACCAGCCTAGCACAGGGACCCATCTGGCCATCCTTGTTACTGATTACTGGGAATACGCCATGGTCTTTACTCCTCACACTGGGCCAGGGCGAAGCAAGGACTAGGGTACGCGGACCTGAGGCGGCCAGGGCAGGAGAGGTCAGAGAGATGATGGGGTAACAGGCACCGAACTGCGAGCTGCGATCTGGGGGCTTCTGGCCAAGGAGGAGTGGGTCTTCTTTCGTCCACTCCATCGGAACCACTTGCAAAATGTGTTAGTAGGTCCAACACATGCACACACGCGCGCGCACACACACACACACGCACACGTTCCTATTTGTGAGAACAGTCCTCAACATTCCATGTCTAGCGCTGAAAGGGCAGGCAGCTTCGATCCCTTCGGGAAGAGCGGTGACAGAGGTGACAGAGGGTGTCACAGGCTAGAGGCTCGCAGTACACGTCCTGGAACTGTTTTACTTGCTTTTTGCCACTGGAGTCCGTTACTAACTAGTTCAAATACTCGGTGCCGGCAGGAAGAATTTCTGAGCTCTTATTATTAGAGGCATAGGAAGAGAATTTGAATGATCTCTCCTCTCGCCTTAAAACAGAGTTTCAATTCCAAGACAGGCCCCCCCAGTGCAAGAGAATAAATGTGAAAACCTCCCGTGCATGGAGCTGAGACCCTCCCTCACCGGACTCCTATCTCATCTGAGCCACAACTGGAAGCTTCCGGGAATGAGGATGGGGTCTTACATGTGTGTTTCAGTGAAATCCTAGGCTCCGCTTTAAATTTGTGTTGCCACATTGGCGGACTCTGGCGTGATGCTCTGAGCTCCACAACTAGCCCGATCCGAGGTCTGTCTCCTCCTCAGTGTGCTGCTGACCCGGGTCACCTCAATCACACAGTATGCTGGCTTCTGGCACCAGCACCCTTCCAAGGAGGATGCCTTGCTGGGTGCGGCTCAGCCTCACTCCTGACCTCTGACTCATGCGCATATGTGCAAATGTTCCTTCGAAGCTGCAGCACAGCCAGACCAACATTTGAGCAGAAATGAAACGTACAAGTGCATGCAGACACTCCCCAAACTACCCTGGATGCGTTCGCTTACACACACACATGCACACACACGCCCACCCCACACACACCCTGAGGCTGACAGAGCTAGGCAAAGTGGGAAAGCTGAAAAGGCCAGATTAAATCAATCTGAGGCAGTGTACCCTGGGGCTGCAGAGCCTGCAGAGAGAACAGCGTGCCTTCCTTAGCCTACTACTGAAAAGACCTCAAGAACCCCCAAAACCCCGTGTGGGGTTGATGGATTCAGAGGATGCTGTGTAAGGAGCAGAGGGTGCAGGGTGGAAGAATTAGCGTTGGCGGGACACGTTTCTTTTTTTTTTTGCCAAGAGTGCTGAGGCCCCCTGGGCAAAACTCCGCTCACAGCACACAACCGGAGAGAATCTCTCCCTTTCCTTTCCTTGTGGCGGGGGCCTGGACCGCTGTGGGCCGCGGCGGGGAGGCGGAATGAAGCCCACAGCCTGAAGCAGGGAAAGAATCAAGGTAGATATTCCTTCCATTCCATTTCCCTCTCTTCTCTTAAACATTTTTTTCTTTTTTCTCTTTTTAAATAATAGCTAAGTAATTTGCCTACCAGGTCCTTGCAAACAGTAGAGAGAAAGGAGCTTGTTAAAAATTGCTCTGGCTGCTCCACAGCTCCCTCTAACGGCTGCCCAGTGCCCTGGCCCTGATTTCCATCCTGCTGGGGGGGGTGTGGGGGGTGGGGGGGCTTCATGAGGCCAGTGAGGACAGGCGTGTGCAGAGTGGTGTGCCCACACGGATACGTCCCTCAGGCTCTTCCTTCTCAGCCAGAGCGCTACATAATAAATATATTCCCACCTCGGAATTATTACAGCTGCTTTTTTTTCCCCACGCGGCATCCTAAGGGCACTTGCTGGCTCTTACCTATCCAGTCAGCACTACTGTCAGACAACAGTTAAAGGAAATGAAGGAAGTAGCTCCTGTGGGTACATAAGGTGATGTAAAAAGGTCACGAGTGTGGGGAACACAGAAATTTCCGCCCCATTGCTTCTGGGCAAGGGTTGCCGGTAGGTGGGCCCCGTATTTGGCTCGTGGCTGTTTCCATCAGGTTTCCCCTTTTGTCGGTGCCGAGGGGCAGTAGTTTGCGAATTCTCCAATCAAGTTTGGGCCTCAACACAACATCCTATGTGTCACCGCAACGTCAGTCCTTTCTCTACCTGCTGTCTACGCCGGGGGAGGGAGGGGCCTAGAAGAGTTTCGCTTTCTTCTTCATGTCGTTGCGTCTCCAAAGAGGTAACTTGTCAAACTCCTGTATGGACATTCCAAAGACCTCCCGAAACACTTCTGGGGCTAAGTGGCGCTGTGACGGGAGAAAAGATCAGTGGTTAAGTCCTGACGGCCACGCGGATGGCCTTGAGCATTGAGAGTTGCTCTCGAGTCTACAGGGGATCATTCTGAAGAGCAAGGCAGAATGATGACAGAGGAGTTTACCTCTGAGGTGTGTTAGCGGGCCCCTCTCACTGGCTCCTTTCCTGGTTGGCCCAGGGGAGGCACCCCCCACCCCCAAAGAGGACAAAAGAGCTGGCGGAGTATTAATGATTATTGTAATACACTTAATGGTGATGGGACATAGCAGGTGACTCATCAGTGTGGAGGCGACTCCATTTCAGGTCGCTGTGATGTTGAGAAGATGCAGGGAAAATGGCCCACAGTAATAAGAAAGCCAGAGAGAGACTTCTAGAATGGTCTCTGGGGAGCCTTGGGGCATCCTCCTGGCTCCGCGGCAGGAATTCCGGTGGATGCCTGGTCCCCGAGAACAGATTCCACCTGGCGTCCCTCCTCCAGAGTTCCCTTAGCATAGTAGAGCCTTTATTCTCTGTGCCAGACTGACTTCACATACAAAGGTATTGCCTTTTGTCAGGGAGAAGTAATGACTCTTTTCTAAGACTGGCACCAGAGTTTTTCTTAATTAAAATCACTCAGATGGAAAACTATAAAGATCAATGTTCCATGTCTAAGGAGGTCTTGCGTATGTGCCCCCAGATGACCCTTCAGCAAGGAATGAGGGAACAGCCGAGAGAGACACTCTGTGGAGCACTCCCTTCTCTCTCTCAACGAGCTCGACCCAGGCTCAGGGAAAGGTTAGGCGCTGGGATATCTGAAGAAGGATGGGCTTCCCTTCTCCAACCCCAGCCACCATTAAGTCAACATCGTCTCCACAGAAAATGACTAAAATCATACTGTGTCTCCTGGGTCATCTTTTGGGTTTCACCACACACTTAGGCTGATCTCTTAAGTGTATATTTGGGTTCTCATCCCAAGTTGTCTTAGTTCTGCCTAATATACGAGACTGATTCTTTTAATTTTTGGGGGGGAGGGTCTGGAGACAGTTGGGCGAAACACATAGGTATCTGCAGTTCGGACTGGTTATTTAGTTAGTTCATTAATTTACCTCCAGCCTGGTTCTGTCCACGTCTCTCAGGATTTTGTTGCGCCCTCTGTTGGTCACCATCAGCATTTCATATGGAAATATCTGAGAAGCAAAGAGAAAGACCTCTTTTAGAACACCGTTGTCCGTTTTCTTAACAAGCAGAAGCTACCTAAAATCTCCTACTCCCAAGATAGAGCTTCTAAGACATTATAAGTATAGTATCTGAATGATGGGTGTTCCATCAAATATCCAACGGACGGGGGCCAGTTCTTACACCTTCTCAGCTCACCATGTCTCACGTGGCATTGTGCCTTCGGAGGGCTTTGTGGAGTGAAAGAATACAAACTTATTATGTCTTGGGGGGTAAAGGTAAAAATTAGAAGTGAAATGATAGGAACACGGTTTATAAGGCAGGGTACCTTTGCAGGGTTCAACAATCTTGTTCCAAGACTGGCTCATGACTGCCTGCGGCCGGGCAGGCCCAGAAGCAGTGTTCTGCTTATTGAAGTAAGTCCCAGCTATGGTCACCAGGGAGCACAGCCTTGGATACCTCTGGAGCTAGGGTGACCAATCATCCCAGTTCTGCTCGGCACCGAGGAGGTTCCTGGAATGCTAGACTTTCAGGGCTCACACTGGGAGAGTCTTGGGCAAATGGGATGTACCACTCACCCTATCTGGACTGGTCTAGGGGTACCCCGCTTTGCACTGGGCATGCCTCGCAGTGCTCAAAGCAGGGGCCAAGTGAGTACAAAGCTCATAAGATAGGTGCGCTGTATTTCACCGTGAATACATTGTACCAGACCCGGTGAGGGCTTAAACCTGTTGACTCAGTGTGGCAAAACCTGTGAAGGGTCAGGGTACTCTGTGACATGGCTTGTCTACTGTATCGGCCTGGAAGCAAGTAGGTCTCAACACTGAGAAAGGTGGAAAGGCAGAAAACCAAATCTTGGGGCCGGGTGGCGCAGTCGGTTAAGGGGCCGACTTCGCTCAGGTCATGATCTCATGGTTTGGGAGTTCGAGCCCCATGACAGGCTCCGTGCTAACAGCTCAGAGCATGGAGCCTGCTTCAGATTCTGTGTCTCCTTCTCTCTCTGCCCTTCCCCTGCTCATGCTCTATCTCTCTGTCTCTCAAAAATAAATAAACATTAAAAAAAAAAAGAAAACCAAATCTTGCCAGGGTGATGGCCCAGTTTGCTGTTCCCATATAAGAGGAGAGAGAATGCCTACACTTGCCTTTGGTTCCAACATGTTGGGCATGGACACCCCCCGATCCATTCTTGTCCCAGACATGTGGCCATCTGGGAGGGTCTGCAACAGAAAACCCGCTTTAAGGAGGAGCACATGACAGCATGGGGAGCTGAGGGGGGGACTCTATGGCCTCCCCAAAACTCCCTGCTTCAGACTCAAATCTTGTTTTATAGATGCGTCATTTTAATTACCATAAATATTTCAAAAATGAAATCCTTGCTACATAAGAGCAGGAATACTGGGAATATTGCTCTTTAATCATCAAGTTGGGGGAAAGATTCTGGCTTGATGACCATTGAGGGGCGCCTGGGTGGCTCAGTCGGTTAAGCATCCAACTCTCGATTTTGGCTCAGGTCATGATCTCAAGAGAACTCTTCCTGAGGTCAAGTTCTGTGTCGGGCTCTGCGCTGATAATGCAGAGCCTGTTTGGGATTCTCTCCTTCTCTCTCTACCCCTCCCTTGCTCATGCGCACTCTCTCTCTTTCCAAATAAAGAAACTTAAAAAAAAAAAAACACAAAAACTATTGACTCATTTCTAATTTAGGCTCCACACATGAAAGTATACAGAATATTAAAAAATTCCAAGTCTGTGATTATTTTCTTACTTTACTCTTAGTTTTCTCTGTATTCCCCCCACACCTTCTCATTCTCCATCATAATTTTATAAAGCTAGGGTCCAGGAAAAAAGGAATGATACCAGACAGGATGGGAATTTCTTTTCATTTGGGACCATGGGAAGGAGGAGAGAACCAAAAGCAGAGAGTGGTTAAAACTGAAAGGAAGAACTGTATGTGGGCAGACCCGTGATGCTGGTCCACTTCCCCCGAGAGAGGACTCTCCGAGGCCAGACCAAGAGTCCTCTGACACCTGGCCTGGTTCATGCCATGTCCCCAGGCCTGCAGGGCCCGCTTGATGTCGGCACCGGGCATTCCTGGTGCTCACGGCTCCTCACATCTATGGGCTAATAAATCAGACCCGCCAACCCAAGAACCCAAGGATCTTCTCAACAGAAACTCTTCCCTCAAGCCGTAACACACGTCTGGATTGTGGTAAATGGCTGCTTTGTTGGCGTGGTCAACTTGAGAAAGACAGTAGTGTTCCATACCTGGTAGTCTAGAAAGGAAAGAAAAAGAAACTTTCAGAAGAGAAAGATCATGGAAGAACATGGCAACACTGATAAACCATATCCTACTGCAATTCGGGAGACATTCTCCAATGCACCAGGTTCTCTCTGCTGGGGTCTCTGGACACCAGTTATCAGTTAAAACACCTTTTCTCATGGAATCCTTCCCCCACGCCCTGAAGGTATTTCCACCTTCTCTGATTACAGCATGTATCTCTGGAAGCTTCTCTCTGGTCACCTCAACCTGTCTCTATCTCTCACTCAGTCCTGTGCATTCTGACAGGAGGGCCCCTCTGTAACTCCCGAGATCTATCCAATCTATTCGAGATCTATCCAATCTATCCGATCGAGTGCTCAGCACATGGCAGGAGCAATGGATTCATTCTTAAAAACTCTGCTTCTCTGGTCTCATTTCAGTTATGATCCTTTGTGACTCTGATACATGCTCCGTGAGCTCCCGTGGGCTAGCTGCGATCCGACTCTCTCTCGGATATCAGACAGCATAAACGGAGCCAATGTATTTGTGACTGCGCAGCCAGTCAGCGGTGTGACCATGAGGGCCTTACCTCGAACTCCCCCGCTGACGTCCCCATAGCTGTTGTACTGAGCAAAGTCTGTGGAAACAGGCTGAGACCAGGAAGAACACATCGTTAGAAAATCCACTCCAAGGTGAAAGGATTTACAAAATCCTAAGAGTTCTTCCTGAGCTGAATTCCTGCGCCCTAGTTACTTTTCTTCTACTATTATGAACTCTCTTTGTCTTCTGCACTGCCTCCAGTGCCAGCAGGACCTGGGTAAGCAAGTTATCTTTTGCCAATAAAAATACATTTCTTCACATAGCTACACAATTACATTTGTTCTGTGCTTTGAGGGGAGGGTGACTGCAGCGAACTTTCCTGTATTTTTTTTACAGCAGAGATAATGGCTCAAGTTACTACTCTTAGTTTGAAATATTTGCCACATGATCAATCAAGGTAGACTTCCCATGAGTTATATAGGCTATTTTTCCATCTGAAGCCAATTTCTCTTTCTCTCAATAGAAATATTTTATTTTGTCTGTAACTCAAAGTGATTGCCATGATATCAAAGAGGTTACAAGTTTTTTTCATGTTCTAGCATTGAGATTACATTATTAGACATATGCAAACAGTATGTCAACATTCATACCAGGTCTGAAGAAGAAATAAACTCAGGAACAAGTCAGTGAGAAATCTTACCCGGTGAAGCCCATTTTTTCCATAGCCTGGGAGAGATGAGGTTTTAGATGATAGAGCATGTGAAGCTGAATGAGAAAAGGTAAAAAAAGGAAATCAGAAGTCCAATTCTTAAAAACTTCTTTCTTTTAAAAGTAAACTCCATACCTAACGTGGGGCTTGATCAAGAGTTGCACACTCTACTGACTGAGCCAGCCGGGTGCCCCCAGAAGTCCAATTCTTTATTGAAACTGGCAATTTATCTTCTCTTTACAGAAGAGAAGATCCATAGACAAATGGAAAAAAATAACCCAAATAATGTTGAGCTCAAATATTCACAAAAGGCCACCACATTTGGGCGTTGCAGGGAATGGATGGAGAAGGAAGAAGTTGCTTGGTGCTACTTTACCTCCGAATCCTCAAGACAACCCTGATAACGCTATTATTATTTCCATTTTACAGCAGAAGAAATAGGGGCTAAGGGAAGTTAAGTATCTTGCCTAAGGTCACTCATCTTACAAACAGCTAAGCAATGATCTGAATCCAGGGCTATCTGGATGCATACGCTCATACCCCAGCTGGTCTGGCAGCAATAAGTGACTTGAAAGCCAAAAGCCAACCATGTAAATATCACGCTCTCCTGGGCCACCACAGCTGGGTTCCTGAGAGGCCTGAGATAAGTTATCCCGTTAATAACAGCATGGCACCACAGCAACTATGGGGCTTTGGAGGGGAGCAGACCGGAGCTTGATTTCTGGCTCTGCAACTTAACACCTCTGCACGGGATCTCATCTCTGTAAGTCTTTGTTTCTTGACTCATGTAGATACAATGCTATATATTCATATAGAACAGGGCTATAGAATTAGAAGGAGCTCTGAAGATTAGTAAACCACTAAATCCAAGATCAATGCCAGGGAGGCATCTCAGAGAGGCAGGGCATTCCAGTACAGCTTGTGGCTCTGGGGTTATAACACTTGGACTCCAGAATCCTAGTGTTGCTTGTTATTAATAAAGTGACATTGGGTAGGTTACTTAAATTTCCTATTCCTGTCTTCTAATCTATGAAATGGGGGTAGTAATAACATCATCTACTTCATTGGCATGTTGTGAGAATAAATTAAATAATATTTAACACAAGGGCTTAAGTTTAGTAAACACTAAATATACTAAAAGCTTTAAGAGGGGCAATTTTAATGCACTAGTTCAGAACATGGGAGAAGAAATATTGTGGGTTAAGAGAGATTTGGTTTATGACAAATATAAATGGGAAATATACTGATAAACTATTTCAGCCCAGTATGTAAGTAATCTCCTTCAAAAGTATCAAAAACAACATTGCTAGTCTTTAGCTATTTCACTGAATATCTAAACATAAAATCATAATGTGTTGAAAATGTTCAAGTTCTCTATATGTCTATATATAATCTCAAGTTCTCTATAAAAGCTTCTATTCTCTCCCTTTCTTTTTTTTTAAAGTGTGTTTATTTATTTTGACAGAGAGAGACAGAACAAGATGTAGAGGGGCAAAGAGAGGGGACAGAGGATCCAAAGTGGGTAGTGGGTTCTGTGCTGATAGTAGAGAGTCTAATGCAGGACTTGAACTCAGGAACTATGAGATCATGATCTAAGCCAAAGTTGGACGCTTAGCCAACTGAGTCACCCAGGCACCCCCCTCCCTCTTTCTCTTTTTAAAAACTTCTTTTGAGGGAAAGAGAGTAAGAGAGAGAAAACAGAGAGAGAGAGAGAGCGAGCGCATGAGCATTAGAAGGGCAAAGAGACAGAGAATCCCAAACAGGCTCCATGCTCAGCGGAGAGCCCAAGTTGGGCCTTGATCCCACAATAGCGAGTCGAGACCTAAACCAATATCAACAGTTGGATGCTTAACTGACTAAGCCACCCAGGTTCCTTGCCTTTCTTTTCATTAAAAAAAAAACCCACAACTTTTTAAGATGTTTTATTTATGTTTGAGAGAGACAGAGAGAGAGAGACAGAGAGACAGTGGCAGAGAGACAGAGTGAGAGCAGGGGAAGGGCAGAGGGAAAGGAAGACACAGAATCTGAAACAGGCTCCAGACTCTGAGCTGTCAGCACAGAGCCCGATGCGGGGCTCGAATCCATGGACCATGAGATTATGACCTGAGCTAAAGTTGGATACTCAACCAACTGAGCCACCCAGGTGCCCTTGCCTTTCTCTTTTTTTAGGAGTAGAATGGTCAAAATGAAATGAACTATAAGGGCTTGATTCACAAGGGTAAGTCAATTTCATCAATTGTTAAGAAGTCTCTTTTATAAAACCAAGTTCCCTTGAGCCAAAAATCATGGTACTTCTCTAATGGAAATAAGGTAGTAAGGAGTTGAAAGTGCATGCACTTAGAAAGTCTGGAGACCCTTTCTGGGGTAAAAGAATATTGGCGGTGACTTCTATATATGGGGACATCATCCTCTCCCAGCAGGGAGTGTAAAACCAAGAAAGACAGAAAATCCTGATCATGTACCTTCTTCCTTCCCTGCCTGATCTAGACCTTTCAGTGATTGAGCTTTTCCTTTATGTTTACTTTTAATTGTGTGTGTGTGTGTGTGTGTGTGTGTGTGTGTGTGTGAATTCCATACATTACAGTTGGAAGTGATACACCCATGTCTCTAAATGCTCCAAAAGCATTTTGTTCTCTATCAGGATTTCCTTTCATGGGTTCCCCCTAAGATGAGGATTCTGAACTAACCCTCCGAAAATCCTCCAAGGGCTCCCCCTTTTCTATTATGAAGAAAGTACACATTTAAGGAAGAACTACGGGTTTCCTTTACTTCCTTTCGCGAAGAACACACTGCGGGCTCTGCCAGGCATGGCCCTGCCTCTCCTGGAACAGTTTAGGCAGGCGGTGGGCCAGCTCCTGGCGGGGAGAAGGGGAGAAGGCAGCGGGCCTGCTGCTCACCTGAGTTGATGGGAGAATCATAGCGACTGGCTGACAGGGATGACCTCTCCCGGCTCTCCTTCTCCATCTCCTCTTTCAGTATCAACTGGCCCAGGCCCGAGTTGAGCTATTCACAGAGAAAAGACACGTGAAAGTGGAGTCCACAGTTACGGTCACAGACTGGCAGTTTCTGTTCGAGAAGGTCGTGCATGAAGTTTCTGGCTCTGGAGTGGCCTGGATGCACCGCAGTGCCAGAGCCTGGTGGTTCCCCAGGGGGTAGGCCAGCTTTTGGGCCTTGAACCCCTCTTAGCCTTCTTAATGTCAAGATGCCGTTCCCCCAGGCCATGTCAGAAGAATGTTCTCTCTCATCTGCCCTCCCCAACGTGCCAGCAGGTGACCTCAGAAGGCATGTGTGTATGCAGATTTTTGAAGCACAAAGGGGATTTTGGGGAGAGTATCAAAAAGAAATTACATTGATTTGTTTAAAAACGAGAAAGCAAACATAATACATGCTCATTGCACAGATTTTAGAAAATCTAGAAGAAGAGTAGCCCATAGTCCACCACTCAGATAACCACCATTTTCATTTTGATTTACATCCATCCAGGATTTTTCTATGCCCATATTATACAAAACCGGGTTCATGCTATAAATGCAACTCTGTATCCTTTCCCTCCATGTAACTAGTATCCTGTGCACTTCCCATATGATTAAGTATCTTTGGAAAATGTCATTTGAAGGGATTCATTATTGTTTCTTATTGGTGGGAGGGTATATAATTTCCCGGCTCCCTCTACCCCAGGCTATAATGGACTCTCCTTCTTTTGGCCTTCTGGGATATGGTGGGAGGGGCATAATGAGAATTTTGTGGTGGCAGTCCATTTTATCCCTTCCCTCCTGGCCCAGATACACATGTAAGGTCCTACAAGTCCCGAGGAGAGACTAGGACAAATACTCAGTCCCAAGGGAATGCCCTCAGCAGAGGCTGCCGGGGGAAAGCGGGTGTTGCACTCCGTGGGTGGACAGCTTGGCTCCACATGGCCCTTCAGCAGCCTGCCAACACATGCCCTGCACACACACATACCCCATGCAGTCACGCTCTCCTCGCAGAAGCTCGAACATTCCACGTCCCTCTGACCTCCCATGTCCAGGCCATGTCTTCCAGAACCCACTAAGTACCCTGCCTTATAGTCACCTAAAGGGTGAAGGGCCCATCTTCTGTCACCTCCTGGATTTCCTGCCCTTGGAGGGCCGGAACCACCTCTCACTCACTTGGTGGCTTGCCCATCGTATGCATTCAAAGCTCTGGATCTAGGCGACCAAATTGGAGATTTTGCAGCAAAGTAGCTTAAGGACAAACCTTCATTAATTGCTCTTCTTGCAGCTGCCGGCGCCTCAGAAGCTCCTCGTCATCTTCCTCTCTGCCACTAGATCTGCGTCTCGAGTCGGCTCCTAATTCCACAGCAAAGACAACTTCTCACATGAGCCCCGTGGCAAGGGGATCTTAAGGCACTAGTCCACCTGTGCTCCACCTGCCCAGCTGGCGAAGTCAGCGGCCGTCCTTAACGTTCGTGAGCGACACAAGGAAAAGACAGCCCACTGCCGATTTAGCCCTGCTGGCGACTTGCTTGAGAGAGCAGGCCTCCTTGGACGGCCAGTTCAACGCGTGATCTGCTAAGGCATGAATTTGGGCCTCCCAACAACTGAGCTGCTCAATGAGAACTTAATGTGCCATTATGGTTGGGTCTAAGTCATCCCATCGGCCACTGGCCACAGCCCTCTGTCATAGGTGGGAGGGCCTCCGGAGTTATTATTTGGATCTCTCTGAGGTCAATTTTCAAACCGAGAGGAATCCAAATTCATGTACATACCACCAAATAGGTAAGAGAGTCCCTCTTGCGGGACACGTTTCGAAATCTTGGAGTTTTCTCTTTTTCTGAACAGACTTGTCATCATACAATCACCCTATCTTCTGCCCTCAAATTCAATAAAAAGCATGCTTTTATTTCTCTTTTAAAGAATGAGTCTCTAATGTTTTCTTGCCCTCGATCCTTTGAAAAAATGGTCACAAAAGAGTTTTATTCTAATAGGTCAATAAAATAGCATTAATACAGCTAAAAAGTTACTTATTTCATTCCAATCGAGCAAATCACTGACAATTTTTAAGCTTCTTGGAAAAGGGGATACAGGGAGTGAAAGGGAGGAATCTGTCTGAATGGTTGTAAAATTAAGATAATTACTGTTTTTCCTAAATTGCTTGGATTAATCTGGCTGTGGGAGGAAACAGGAAAGCTTGCTAATCTAATCAAAACAAACTTTAATAGTCTCAGTTTTTATCATTTTGATTAATGGGCCAGGAATTTTCTTAACTTTGGAACCCAAAAAGCTTTAAGCTATTTAGTGATGATGGTTTTAACCATCAAATATTCATTCTTCCTGTCCCCCAAACTTAGCAATTTGTGTCCCCACTAAGCAACATGACTGAACCAGGAACCTCAAAGGCGACATGAACCCTGAAAGTATTCTTGTCTGCAGGGCACAGACTGGTAGGGACAAGCTGATGATTGATTGATTCTTAGTTCCTAAAATCATAAATGTCAATGTGAATTTACTCTCTTCAATCTATACTAATAAAAATGAAAAGACACAAGTTTGCAAGAATTAAATAAATCTTAAGTCAGCATATTGTAACGAGTATTTGGGAATAATGAACCCAAGGAGGGGGAGATTTTCCTTCAAGTATTTCTATAAATGTGGATTGCTTTATAATCCACTTACATTGTTTGTAAAAGTTATTCCAGAAAGTAACTTGATGAGAAAAAGCATGATGAAGAAAATTTGGAAAACCAAAGCCCTTTTAAAAAAGGTTGTCAACATAAATGTGAGAAGATAGTTCTATCTTTGCAAAACTGACTCACTAAATTTTCAGTATTAGCTTCTGAGTTTGCTAAGTACCCCCTCTTAGGCCAAGTGATTTCACAACTGACAAAACAGTACGGACACAGACACGGTTCTAAAGCATAAATTTGTGGTTCAAAGCAAAGAATGAAACAGCTCAAACGTGACATTTCAGCACAGAATTCATGGAAATGATAGATGGAAAATCACATAACTTCACACGAGTAGTTATTCCAGAACACCTACTACTCTGTGACAGCCTTTCTTAGTAAAGGAGAACATGATCTCACAGGAAAGGTGGAAGTGTCAGTGTTAGGAGTGGCTGTTAAGAGAATTGTAATTACAACCCAGAAATAGCCTAAAACAAATTTCGCTGAAAGAAGTCATGCCTCTGTGGACACTCAGTAAAGACACCCGGTGGACTCTACTTCTAAATGGTGTCTTGGCGAGAGGCTTTGGTTCAACTAGTTCAAAAGTTACTGGTTATTACTTTGCAGTTGTTACTTGCAGTTATTATTGATTTTGCAGTAATAACTCTGAGAGTCCATGCAAATCATCTGTTTTAGACCAGTTCTGGCTGCCTCTCTGTGGGTTGGTTAGTGCAAGGCTCTGGTGATTGGGTTTTTGTAATTGTGACGCATTTGGCACCCATGTTAATACCACGTTAGGGTTTTTCTCCACCTCTGGTCATACTTTTTAAACGCCTTTACGACAGGACACACTTCCTTGCATATTTTTAAGCATTTCGTTTTGTGCTCTCCTGCTGATCTGTCCATTTGGCTTAGCCACAGCAGTTGCATACCTACGGCAGCAAGTGAGGGGGGCCCAGGCCAGTGATCCGTCTCAATCTTTGGTATCTCGCTGGGATCTGGAGCTTGGGCTGCTGGGAACTTGGAAAACTTGATGATGTCTTCTGAAGACTTGCTCTGGGCTGCCAAGGCAGCTGCATCTAGGCGGGAATCACGGGGAGCTTAGCTACTGGTCTGCAAAGCCATGGCGGTACAACCCACTTCCATAGTTTTCTTGTTTGCTGGCAAAAGTTTCAAATCCTGAAAGCTGTTTATGGCTCTTATCAATTGCCCAGTCACTCAGTGGTGCCTAGTGACAAGTCATTTTCTTATGTTCTGCTGGAAGCAAAATTTCATTCTATATCTGTAATCTTATTGTAGAGCTAGGCCGACCGATACTAGCTCTAGCTGTGCATGGCTACTTCAATTTCAAATAATAAAACTAAAGGAAACTAGAATATGAATAAAATGAAAATCCAGTTCCTCAGTTGCACGAGCTACATGTTAAGCGCTCAACAGCCATGTGTAATGAGTGGCTACCATATTGGAAGCACCATCGTAGCACATTTCCATCATCACAGAAAGTTCCATCAGATGATATTCTTCTAGAGCAATTAGAAATTTGAATTAACAATTTGAACTTAAAGAGCTAAGTTAAAAGCATGACACTGTCTTTTGACTGTAGTTGTTAATCATAAGAGGGCTGGCTCTGTATGTTTGTGTATTTGTATCTGTTCATTTTAGCAGTCATCTGTCCAGTTCATTTCACTCCTTACATATTATATATGTGTCTAGAGTCCTACGAGAAATGGCAATGGGAAAATCCACGTTCAGCCTGTAGGAATTTAGCATTGTGTCTTATGTATGTATGTTGACTTATGCATGTATGCAAAACACTCCTGTTTCCCTCAAGGGTCTGCACACATAAGCCAGCCGTCCAGCTTTAAGACAACAAAAGCCAGACTAGCAATGGCCTCAGTTCACAGAGTTCTTAATGGCTCTGCTTAGAGCTGTCGCTGGCTTAGAGCTACAAATGTAATCACAGAGCCAGAACAAAACAAACCGGGTTAAATGGTCAGACCCTGATTCTGGCTAATTTGGCAGACTGGCCTGGGACATTACTAAGCATTTCAAAATATAGTTATAATGCTTTAAGTGAAGACTATCCTCCCCTCTCTGGGCTCACATATTTTAAAATCTGGAAACAATTTTTTGAATCCTTAGCTCGAATTCCCCATTCTTTTAGTAACCTTCTGGGTCTTGTTTTCCTTAAGTGGCTTGACCACGGTCACCTTATCTACTCATAAGGGGTGAAGTGTTGGCCAAGCATGGGGTAGTGCTTCTCTGAGTCTCTATCCTCATGAGAAAAAAATAAAAAATTCACCTTGGAAAACACTGCCTATTACATCATCTTCTTAAAGATGGACAACATATGTTAGCATATTAAAGACTGAGATGTTCTGCATGACAAAACAAAAAAATGGTGACTTTATTTAAATCTAGCATTTTCCAAAGCACCGGGGCCCAGACGCCAGGTTTGGTGGACCTTCTATTTCTGTCACATGGAACTGCTCTTTTGCAGAAGGTTCTTTGGGAACTGCCACTATGGCTGTGCTACTCTTAATTACAACAAACTGAAAGTCAAGTCAGAGTACACTTCATTTAAAAAAAACAGCCAATCTCTTTCAAATAAACAAGGTAACACTATCCAGTCTCTTTGAATCTTAAATATTTGACTATTTTTGTTTAGAGAGGCAGAGCCTTAGAGATTTTAGTAATAAAAACAGTTTCTACGTTGATAAATCAAACTCTTGGAGTCTCATTTGTAAATTTAGGGGGAAAAAAAAAAGCATGACTTCAAACAGTACTTACGCATTAGAATTGGTGAAGTCAGTAAACATTCACATGTTAATGAGTGGGTGAGAAGACATTAAACCATAAAAAAACAAACAAAAACAATGTTAACAAACTTAAAAAAGCAAGCACATGGTGTAAAATCTTAAAAAAAAGAAAAAAAAATCACAGTTGTAGAACCATTACAATATGTACATTCTCTTTTTTGCCCCCTAGAATGCTGGCTTAAATTGTTTTCTGTGTGCACTTTCAACTTTCATTGCTTTTCAGGTCATCCTAATCCTTCAGGACTCATTAATGTCAACTCGATTTTAAAGGCAGCCTTCAACTTTCCAGGTGCATTATGTGTATAATTTTCTGACATCACCAGAAGACCAGTGCTGGTTTTCTATCCATTCGCAAAGATTTATGGCACCTAATCGACAGAGACCTAATAATGGTGGAGGGAAATGTGATTTACCTAGGGTAATGTGATTTCCTGGATTTAAAAATTCTCTATTTACAGAAAAGGAAAGCACACTTATAAATCCATAGTAGGAATTTTAGTTTGCAGGAATTTCAGAAACTGGCTGGCCTAACTCACTGGTTTTTGTCCCAGAGGAAACTGAGGGACAGAGAAGTCACATGCATGATATCATAGAGCCATTGAGGGGAAGGGCTGGGGACCAAGGCCTTGGTCGTGGGGTGTCCATTCCACTGCAAGGTGTAGACATCTGGGGAATTGGACAGTCAAGGTAATGTAGGCTTAGTTCAGCTAAGTCTTCTAGGTTGTTGGCCTTCACTATTTTAATTAGAGTAATTAGAAGCTCATCAAAGTTACTATAGAGGCTGGCTAAATTGTTTCATGGTACATACAAAAAAAAAAAGGTATTTGTGAATTATTGTGTGAGCAGTACTCCCCATTCTCTAGGAATGCAATGATACATGGTTTCATGGGCTCAAAGACTGGCTAGGAGTTTCCGATCCAAACTAAGCGTTCTCCATCTAGGAAAACTCATCTCACAATATTTGCATCTTAGGGAACCATAAAGGCATAATACACTGGGCACCCCAGTTTGATTCTCAAAAGCAGCAGCAGAGAAGCCTTTGAGAGGACAGACAGCAGAGAGTTCAGCGGATACCGTGACTTAAAAGCTATGCGGAGGAAAGCGGGTTTTACCATGCTGTTTGTAGATGGGTGGTTTTCGGTAAATGTTGATCCCTTGATCTGTGGAAATGAAAAGCAAAGGTGTGTGATTATGGGAACCGATTCAGCGATGGGCAAAAACAGATCAACCAAGAGGCAAACCAAACTGAAGACTCTTGAACAAAATCAACCCAGAAGGTGAACTTTTGTATTACAAAGATTGAGGTTACTGGAAGAAGAGGTCACAGGAATGGGTGAATCACTACAGACAAGTGATATGGAATCCTTTGTAATACATCTTAGGATATATAGAGATGTAATTCATTCATGAGCCATTTATTGCGAATACACACTTCACTGAAAGTGAAATTAAAACAGGAAGAAACGCAAGCAGTGGAGAGGACTCTAATGGTGAGGAAGACATAATCAGTTTGGGGAAGGTCCCCAAATTGCTACTGTCTAGAAATTGAGCTCCCAGTAGATACCAAGGGCTCAATTTACTTCACAGCTAATGAGTGGAACAGTGGAAAGCAATGTAATATAGTTAAGAGTAGTTATTTTAAGACATAGAACAGTTTTCATGTGCAAGGCTAGTCTGATTCCTGACAGAATGTCTGATGGAATTCTAACTTGTATCGGGCAAATTCAAAAAGAGAAAAGAAACGAAAAGAGATGACAAATATTATCCAATTGTTTATATAGGACTACATTTAATTATGTTACAATTTCACTTTGACTGCGAATACTCAGGAAATTTCCAAAGGTTTGTTTCCTCGAATCTTGGCCACTGAATCTTGGTGGGGGCATTCTTCGTGCAAAAAAAGTTGCAAATGTACACAGCACCGATTTTAACGTTCAGTGAAGCTTTATTTTAAAAGACAGTTCTAACTTAGTGGGATGAATCTCACTGAACTTTCCTCTGTTTTATCAGGTAAGTTTGGAATGCAAAAGGAAAAAAAATGATTATAGATTCTGAATATGTGCCCTAATAGTAAAATAATGGGTAATGTATTAAACCACTTTTAGTAGCGAAAAGCAGCAAAACAATGTACTTCCCATAGAAAAATAATATCGTGACTACAGATGGCCAATCTTACCCTTACAAATTGAGCTGACTCTAAACATCAAGAGATTGATGGGTCCTAAGTTTTCTAGTTCTTGATGGCAAATTACTATTTGTACCGTGACAGCAGATGCTTATGACTTCAGCAAAGCTAACAGCACCAAGCCTAAATTGCAAGATTTTGTTGTGGGCTAAGGAGGTAGTCAGTTGGTTATGCAATGCAGGAGGACTGTCCAACTGATCCAATTTTATACCTCTCCAAAAAGTCTATAGAAAAATTCTCTGCATTGGAGACAAATGGGAAAAAATAAAAGTACTCTGGAGATGTTGTGGTTCAGTCTTTAGGATGAGAAGATAACCTCGGGTTGCCATTGTGAGATTTAGTCAATGACACCAAACCACAGAGTGATATCGTAGGAGGCACTAATATACAGGCAAAATTAAAATCTTGGTCCAAATAAAACAAGACAAAGCAACTCAACCCTTATTCCTTCACTCTCTGCCTCCCACCTCCCTTCAAAAATTTTTGAGAAAACATAAACCTTCCATACAATCTTGGCATTTGGCATCCAAAACTTCTGAAAGGCCCTCTCGGTCAGATCGTGCAATTTAGGGTTTGTCGACTGTGTGCATCCCAATGATGAGAGCATGAGAAATGAGACGAGACAGGTAACACGGCTACGTTCTACACCGTGACAGGACACCCCGACAAAGACCGTGTCAGCTCCTACCTGGAACATGGAAATGTTTAGGGGCCTGAGCGTAAGTTGGAGTGACAGGGCGGCTGTCTGGCCGGGAAGGGAGAGGGGAGTTCCGGCCGCTGGACGGCTCATTGCCTCCAATGAGAAGAATGGAGAAAACAAAATGAGGGAAGGGACAGCAATAAAGAAAACAGAGCAAGCATAATAAAAATTCAAAACAATAGACCGGGGGGAAGTTATATCAAAAAGGAGAAACAAAAGAAACAAACTCAGTTTATCAACTTGGCTCACAAGGTGATAGGAGGTTACGTTTTGGTCATGAGAGATTTGACTTCACGTGGGACTGGGTTAGAAGCAGCTAGCGGTAGGGGGCGTCATTCCGATGGCATGCGGTTGAAGGCCGTGAGCTAGCAGCCAACTGATTAGATGGAAAGTACATGAAGAGTCATGGAAGGTCACTTGCTAATGATTCAGGATCGGCTGTCAGATGACTAAATCCCAAGCACTCGAAGGGGCAGGGTACGCAAACCCAAATACAATCACTTCCAGGCATGACGGCAGAGGCTGGCAATCGCAATATACTTCTCGGAACGGAAGGCCACGTCCGGGAGCCTGTGTGGTCCCCCAGTCCCTCCCCTCAGCAATGCGAAGTGCCTGCACTACAGTGAATGTTTCTGTTTCCTCACTTTGAAATACACACCACGGAATCAGAGCCCTTTCTTTCCGGAACTTCGGGACCGCTTATACCACTCTCCACTTTTCTCTTTAAAGGCTCCACTCAGGTGCCACCCCATCCAGCAATTCCATCTGTGAATGGACAGCTAACGTGGCTGGGCACTGAGCCCATGGAAGTGAATGAGATGTCACTCCTACCCGTTTGTTGTGGGGAGCGGGGCTCAGAATCTACCTAAGGAGACAGACTATGACACATAAATGTGTACTCAGGGGAAGGTGGCATCAATTCTTCCAGAAAGCTAAGATATTAGACTGAGGGGGTGTCAAGGAGTAAGCACACCAGGTGGGCGGGTGGATGGCTGAGGGGTGAGCAGACCCAGATTCCAGAGGCCTTGAACATCATGAGGAAGGAAGGGCCGTGGTGTGCGGGAACCAGAGGGCTGGCCGCTGTGGTGGGACAGCAGGCTGTTCTTGGAGGAGGGAATAGGGAAGGGGTTAGAAAAGATTGCTGGCATGTGGCTGCCAAGCCTTGAGTGCCACCAAGACCACCATCGCTCCCTTCTGACCAGGATGAACGGAGACCTGGGTTCAACTGGTCAGAGATCAGCTTCTGCCCTAAACTGCCCTCCCACCTCGTGTCTGAGAAAACATCTGCACCAAGAATATACCAGAAGATGTAGGACTAGCAAAAGTTAATGGATTAGAAGGCGATTACTTTTGTTTCTGAGTTATAAGACTTCTGTATGTATTCTGGTCACAAGTCCCTTGTCAGATACATGATTTGCAAATATTTCCTCCCGTTCTGTGGGTTGTCTTTCACTATTTGGATAGTGTCCTTTGAAGCACAAAAGTTGTTAAGTTTTGATAAAGTGTAATTTATCTATCAATTAATGCTATTTGAAACAAATCATAGATCTTTATAAAACAGAGCACGAGCCGATTTCTTCAAATAAGGCACGCTGTTCTAAATCTGGCCCGCAAAGTATGAAAGACGTCAGTTGCTGGAGTTTTAAAATGACGTGCTTACTAGGACTTTAATTTCTCAATATGTGTATTTTTAGGTAATCGGTACACACGTCTGGACTGAGTGGGCAGTACGATCTTTCAAACAAGATCTGAAGTTGTTCTGGCTTGAATGTAGATTCCAGCTTTCTGGTTGCTGTTGAAGCTTTTCTCTTTTTTTTCCTCAAGAGTCAGTTTCACCGCTAGCTCCCAACACATTATAATGTAGACTTTACTATTTAAGTTAGATATTAGCTTCTAAAAATGATGATGCTTCACCCCAAACTGCTGATCTACTAGATAAAGTTTTTTAGAAAGTTATTTCATTTACTATCGCTCTCCTAACAAGAAATAGCCAGCTCATGTCTGAAAAAAGAAAAAAGTATAAAAGACACAGGTAGAGGCAAACAGGGAGAGGAAGAAAGTGGTCGTACATTTAGAAGTAAATCCTGTTTTAAATTGAAGGTTGAGTTAGAACTAGATCTCATTCACCTTGGTGAGCTGAGTAGAGTGTGCAGCCCAGAGTAAGTGCCTAAGTAATGTCTGCAAATGAATGACTGAATGGATTACCCATCATCTTGCTCTTGATTAAAGGCAGCCAGATGTTAGTATAGAACAATGGGGTCACAACAGCACCCCCCTTTTTATAACTTTCCCACTAGATCCTCCATAACCCCCATGTAACCATTTCACTGCGGAGGAATTATTTATTCCTGTAAACATCAGAAATCATTCACAAGAGTAATCCAGAATTGAAAAACAGAATACTTCTTGTGAGTTATTCTCAAAAGAAGGTCTGGAAAAACAGCTTTCTCGCCTAATTTGAGGTAGCCTTTTAAAGACTCTTTTTGCATATCCTGAGCACTGGCTGGCATGGCTTCTGAGCCTCCCTGCTTCCTGCTCATCACCTCTAACCTTCTTGTGCTTGTACAAGAACATCAGCTATCTCAGGGAAATGTTCTCACAGGTCTGGGTTATATACCTAATGGATGAAACACCATTAAATTTGTTTTGATAGTTATTAGCCGGTGTCAGGCACACACAAAAATATCTGCATGTATGGGATGCAAAGGTTGAAGGTTATCAGAATTAGCATTTGTCTAAGCCTTAAGACTCTATCATCTGCCGGCCAGTGGCGGCAGGAGCCCATCACTTGTCAGATATGGTTAACGACTCTTAGAGGTGGTGATGAGTGGCCGTCTGAGCTCCTGATGGGTGAATTCGGGCTGAATGTCTCTTGTTGGGCATAGTTCTTTATTTGGCTGCATATTTCAGTAATCGTTGACCTTTCTAGTTGCTTTAAAGAAAAAAAACCCCGTTACTCCTATGTTCAAATCCTTGTAAATAGAGTTAATGCTAAAATTACTTAAAACCTCCCACAAAATATTTTAAAACGCTAGGTGAAGACAGACTCAGCAACGCACCCATCTACAGGGTTTCTGTACAATCCGATTTCCACAAGTCACCATGGTTCATTGGAAACAAGGTCTCAGGATACTGCTGCTAGGTACCAAATTCTTAGCCCTTGAAATACCAAAGGCATTAAACATTTTTTTGGCATTTTTTAAAAAAGCAAAATTCTCAAGATGAGTCCTCTTTCCTTAGTCTAACTTAAACACCCTATTTTGAAGTGGTAAAACTTTATTTTAGAAGGAAATAACTGATAAGGGCCCTAAACGTGTATTTGTAAGCCTAGTTCATTACTTAGGCAAAGTAATGCATGAGGTGTCAGATGAAAGATGATATATGGAAGGTATTACTTTCATCAACATTATCATCATCAGCAGCTTGGAATGTAGACACTGTTTAAAAATAATAGCGCACATATTGTAGAATACAGTATATATCACATTCATAGCCATTTTGTTCCTTAAATAAGTCCTTCCTTGTATTGGATGATTCTTAGTTGTTAGTGATCTTAGCTACTATGATGAGAATCTACCACATGGGGCGCCTGGGTGGCTCAGTCAGTTGAGCATCCGACTTTGGCTCAGGTCATGATCTCGTGGTTTCTGAGTTCAAGCCCCACATAGGGCTTACTTCTGTTGTCTGTCAGCACGGGGCTCACTTTGGATCTTCTGTCCCACTCTTTCTGCCCCTCCCACGTTTTCCTGCACCCAAAAATAAATAATAAAAAAGAAGCTACCACGTACATATGTTTCTTAACCTTCATTTTTAGCTCCTTCCCTATCAGCCTAATAAGCGTATTTTTCAGATTGGCTGATCTGGGAGATCAATCACTTACAGGATTCTCACTGTCCTTAATACACTCAGATGCTCTGTCCTTAGTTTCAATCTTCTTTTTGGTACCCTGAGAGCCCAAGTGACAAATCCTAAGACAAGTAGATCAAAATGGCCATGCATGTGTCTACTGGGGGAACATTCTAGAAAACTGCCTAGTTTTCTGGACTCTAAGTGCTTGTCTTCCAAAATATAAATGAGTATTTTGAGGGGACCTTAAAGTTGGTAGCATCAGGCTGGTACTTGTCTAAAGTTTCAGTAAGCATCATGGTTTTCTTTAGCAAGTGTCAGATATTTGCATCACAGCAAATCACTTCTATGGTGAAACAGAAAAGATTCCTTTCAAAGAGACTTAATATATGTAGCCCTCCTGTTCACAAATCTGATTTATACTTTGTGGACACAGAACTTAATGTCTAAGAGTATTTCAAAGGGGAGGGAAGAGGAACTCAGCAAACGTAGCACAGACCAAGCCCAACACAACGTGAAAAGCTTTCCAAATCTCTAAGCATGCACCTGTCCAAATGGTCCGACAATGACATACCAATATAAAACGAGGCTGCAGGGAAGGTTAGAGAACCGAAACACCAACACACCGGAAAACAAGATGGATGTTACAGAAAATGGATGGAGAAGCCAATGAAATAGAGAGACAGCCTGTGATGTGCATCTCAGCTTTCCATGCATGCTGCATCCTCGGCTCCTTGAACCCTGGGGGCCTGGGCCCATGCGTCAGAAATAAGGACCAGGAAGCGGACTTAGGAAATAGGGGGCTGAACTTCTGGTTGCAAGAGTGGTGCTTCTAGTGCTTCCAGATACACATTCCTTAGATGGACAGCCTATCCTGGCATCCTCAGGCTGCCCAGCTTGCATTTGTTTTATAAATAACTGCCCTAGGATCCTAAGATGAGCTCCAAGATAAAAAGTGAACGTTCAAATGAAAGGCCATGGAGGACTTGGTTCCATTTTAAAGATACCTTAGATTTGTTTCTCAAATGGCCATAAAGTCCCTCCATGCTAAATTTTTCAAGTGCTGGAGAGGTCTTCCATGTCTAATAGATGGATACATGCTTTTCAGAATAACTAAGAAGTAATTCCTTAAATAATCCATATTTAGCCAATCAACTATATTAAGCTCTTAAAGCAGTATCTTTAATGTACAAATTCTCCATGATTTATTTTGTAGTTTAGCAAAAAGCTCATCTGATTTTGAAACT